TGTCCCAACCTCTATCACTTTTAAGGTTCATTAGAATTCTTAGTCAAGCATGACTTATTGGAAAGAATAATGGAATGAACATAGTTGTTGTCCAGTTGTGTCCAATTCTTTGTCATTCCATTGGGATTTTCTTGGCAAAGATACTGGAGGAAACTGAGGCAAACAGGATTAAGTGATTTGCCCAAGGTCAAACAACTAGTAAGGATCTGAGGCCAGATTTGAATTCCAGAAGACAAAAAGACTTGGTTTCTTCATCCATAAAATGAGAAAAAGAAGAATTTTACTACTATATCTGCTGAGATGTGCCATACAGTGCCTTTCTCTCTCTCTTTTTTATAGTATTTTTCCCAATTACATGTCAAGACAGTTGTTAGCATTCATTTTTACAAGGTTTTAAGTTCCAAATTTTTCTGCCTTCCTCCCTCTCCCACCTTTTTCCTAAAACGACAGGCCATTTGATATAGGTTATGCTATCATGTAAAACATAATTCCATATTAGTCACAGTTGCGAAATAAGAAACACATCAAAGGGTAACAAAAAACACACAAAAAAGTGAAAAAAGTATGCTTTGATCTGCATTCAGAGTCCATGTGGGTAGCATTTTCCTTTGTGAGTCCTTTCTACTTGTCTTGGAGTATTGTATTGCTAAGAAAAGCTGAGTCATTTATAGTTGATCATCACACAATGTTGCTGATACTGTGTATAACGTTCTTCTGGTCATTTCATTTTGCATCAGTTCATACAAGTATTTCCAGGTCTTTCTGAAATGTGCCTGTTCATTATTTCTTATTGCATGGTAGTATTCCATCATATCCATATATCACAGCTTGTTCAGCCATCCCCTACTTGATGGGCATTCCCTCAATTTCAATATTTTGCTACCACAAAAACAGCTGCTATAAATATTTTTGCCTATGCAGGTTCTTTCCCCTTTTTTATGGTCTCTTTGGGACACATCTAGTAGTGGTATTGCTGGATCAAAGGGTACACACAGGGTATGCCCTTTGGGCATAATTCCAAATTGCTCTCCAGAATCGTTGGATCAGTTCACTATTCTACCAACAATGCATTAGTGTACCAATTTTCCCACATCTCCAACATTAATCATTTTTCTTTTCTATAATATTAGCTAATCAGAGAGGTATGAGGTGCTATTTCAGAATGGTTTTAATTTGCATTTTTCTAATCAAAAGTGATTTAGAACACTTCTTCATATGCCTACAGATAGCTTTAATTTCTTCATCCGAAAAATGCCTATTCTTACCCTTTCACCATTTATCAATTGGGGAATGGCTGGTATTCTAGATTTTACTCAGTTCTCTATATATTTAAGAAATAAGGCCTTTATTAGTAGCACTGGCTATAAAAATTATTTCCCAGCTTTCTACTTTCCTGATAATCTTGGTTAAATTGGTTTTGTTTTTGCAAAACGTTTTTAAGTTAATGAAATCAAATTATCAATTTTGCATTTCATAATGTTCTCTATATCTTATTTGGTCATAAATTCTTTCCTTTTCCATAGATCTGACAGTTAAACTATTCCTTGCCCTCCTAATTTGCTTATGGTATCACACTTTATGTCTAAATCATGTGCCCATTTTGACCTTATCTTGGTATGGATTGTGAGATATTGGTCTATGCCTAGTTTCTATTATACTATTTTCCAGTTTTCCCAGCAGTTTTTGTCAAATAATGAGTTCTTATACAAGCTATATACATATTAATGAACATTCCCATTATCGAAAAAGCCAGAAGGCAGAAAGAAGTGGAAGATAAAGGAAGGTAATCTCTTACTGAAAAAGAAAGTGGTCTAGTTATGTGGTGACAGACAGTAAAGGAGAGCCTGATTTTTGTATTTGTGGCTTCTATATGTTGGGAGACCTAGAGACCTTCCAGAGGTACAGCCTCCATCCTTCATGGAAGATCAGTGGAAGTAGATGGACATAAATCACACAGCATGGCTGAATTTCAATCTGTATTTTTGAAGGGAGTATTCACATCAGGGAAATCACATATTGATCAAAGAATTCAAGTAAATGTTTTTAAATTAATTTGAGAATTTACCTCAACATTCCTTGAAATGATTTCTGTTCTACTTGGTATAGCTATTTTTTCAAATAAATACAAATAAGAGCACTTTCCATTTTAAATTGCTATTTAAAAAAATCTTCATCTCCCTCCAATACCTTAAAGCTTTGGGAAAGATTTTTTGAAGATATGCACTAGGGAGAGATTATTTGAAGAATTATGTCTTAAAAACAGAACTATTTCTGATCAACTTCTCCATTTGTTATTTTCCAAAACCATTAAACAAAATCTACTATATTTTGCCATCATTGATTCTCTTCTGCTCCTTATACCAAGCAGGAATAAATGTTAGTAAGGTTGCTCATACTGCCGAACTGCCCCACCTCTGATTGATTGACTAAAAACAAACTTCTGGCCACTTAAGACAGATTTTGCAAATATTTCTTCCACAAATGAAGTGTGATGTCTCTAAGGTATATGTTGCTGGATGGAAAAGTTAAAAAGAGCTCACTGACTTACAGGTAGTTTTTAGAGAATTGTTAACTTTCTTTTGCTTTGATGTTATCAGTCACCAAAAGAAATGCAACTCCACAATACAAAAACTCCTTTGAAGATGATAAAATAAAATTTTTAAAGTTCCCTTTATTTAATTTTCTTGTTTTTTTCTCCTTTAAACAGTTATATTAGTGTTAAAGTATGAACAAGACATTTGAAAACAGATTTTCAAGTTTTGTTAACACAATCTGACTCATTTTCTCTTTGTTTTCTATAATATAGGTACTTTTTTTCCCCTACCATTCAGGTAACAGCTACTTCAGTAATTTGCAACTAACATTTAGCAGGATTTGCAATTTGTTTATCCTGGAGATGAGTTATTCCTGTCAGAATTTCATGGATATTGCATTTTGGTTTTACAGTTCTGCTGGTGAAAATTTACGGAAAAAAATCTAAATTAAGGATGTTAGATTTCTACTGCATAAAATTATTCATTTCCCATTTTCTGTTTTATTTTTCTCTTCTTAAATATCTCTTAAAATGTATGAACTTTACAATACATTTATTTTTTAAAAATCAACATCTAGTGAATGGACACTTATGTGTCTCTCAAGTAAACTGCAATTTTAATTATAATCTTGCTACAAACTTAAATATTAATGGATACCTGTAAAGACTAAAACAAAATGTGATGTGTTGAAGTAAGTCCACAAGTGAGAAAGTGAGAGTTTCATAATCTTTTGGTTCAATTAATCAATTTGTTGTCTTCTTAGCCTTGCATCAATTAATTTGAAACAGTCTATAGCTCCTTAGTCACAATCACATCAAAAATTATTTTAAATTTATCATTGGATCCTTTGGCATATACACAAATATGAATTTTAAAGACAGAAGGCATATATTACTTGAGATTTTTTTTCAACCTCTCATTTCATCATATCAGTGTGGAGAATTGCTTTGTGTAGAAACATCCTCCACACAGGTAGGTTTTAAATTATCTTTTTTATATAGTTTTACAGAGTTCCTTTAGACACACTACAATAATCAATGATGTCATATTTTCACAGTTAGCATGTGCTTGAAATTGGACTTTAACATGGGTCTTCCAAAATAAAGATAGATGTATAAAGGATTTTCGTAGTGCTTACTCCATATCAGGAACTATGCTGAATGCTAGAAATATAATACAGGCAAAGAGAAAGGCAGTTTCTCCACTCAAAGAGCTTGCTTCTTAATGGGAGAAAATGCCACATAAAAGGAAGCTTAAAAGTGGAGGGGCAGCATGTGAGAAGGTAAATGAAAAATGACTTCCTTCTAGGAGTTTTTCTAACTCCAAGGATGATCCTTTATCTACTACATCTGTCTGTCTTTCTAAGGATATATACAAATCCAGACACATAAAACATTTCTTGTAAAATATGTATCTTTATTGAAATTTTAGATAGAATTCTAAAAATCTATCAATTCGCTAGTTGAAATTCTGCTCTCAAATAATTGCATTTCCATTCTTCCCCTTAGATCCAGGGTTTATTTCCTAGGTTTTTTTTCAGTTTTCTGCCAGGACACATATGGCCTTATCAGAAGTGACAGACAGTTTAACAGCTACTAGATTAATCTCAAAGAAGTTGTAAACTTCTGGCCTAACCCCAACAGCAAATTGAGCTCCAGATTGGATGCTCTGGGACTGTTCCCACCTTAGTCTTCATCCACTTTAGCATAGATATTTAACTCTAAGTTTATATCTGCTGCTTTAGGGGTAACATGGCTCTTATTTAGATCAGACATGACTTATACACCTGATGGTCTACTCAAACATCCCTATGTCACACTTTTATAAGCTGCCAAAATAGTACTTTCAATATTTTTTAAGATGGAAATAAAAATTCCAGTTTTCCACCTAAGACCATGATTGGAGAGAAACAGAACTGCTGCTGCTACTGATATAACAAAAAAGTTAGTAGTTACTAAAGAAAGTTTCCATTCCTTTATTCTTTTTTTTTCCTGGTTTTAATGTTGAAATCATTTTGTGATGTAGTAGCATCACAACAATATAGTAAATTAAATTCCCAAGAAAGGAATGACAATGTAATATTGGCTAAAACACAATATGGACATTGATTCTGTGGCTTGTTCTGGTCCTGAAACTTTATATTGCAAGGAGATTTTTTTATAAAATAATTATTTTATTAATATGTTGTCTTCATAAAAAATACATAGCATAAAGATTATTTGGCCAAATAACTTGTGAAAGAAAACTTTTAAAGGATATATTTTCACCATTGATTTTCTTAACCAATAACTTTGTTTCTTGCAAAATCATAAGTAAAATCAGTTTTACTAAAGTCAAGACACCATGGGAAACTGAAAATGAAGCATTTCCACAACAAAACAATAAAATCATACATCTATATATAAACATTATGATATAACATTATGTGATATCAGTATATGTTACATTATATCCTGTCTTTTGCAGCTGCACTCCAATTCTGACAAAGGTGATGGATCAGTCAAATATATCCTTACTGGAGAAGGGGCTGGGACAATATTTATCATTGATGACACCACAGGAGACATTCATTCAACCAAAAGTCTAGATCGAGAGCAGAAGACTCACTATGTCCTGCATGCCCAGGCAATTGATAGATGGACAAACAAGCCTCTTGAACCTGAATCTGAATTTATTATCAAAGTACAAGACATCAATGACAATGCACCCAAATTTACAGATGGACCATACATCGTAACTGTGCCAGAAATGTCTGACATGGGTAAGAAAAATTATTTTTCAATTAAGTAATTAACTCTTTAATAATATGTCTGGAAAAACCCACTAAGACTATAAATGCTTTTTTATCTCAATATAGGATTATGGGAAACATCATTTACATTAGAAGCAAAAGCTCACAATCATTTTTAAAGAATTTTTTTCTGTCTTTATAAAGAGTGTTACAAGCAAATAGTGCATTCGGTATATACCAGGATACTTTTTAACTGAATTCCAGAGCCCTCATGGGTAAAAAGCAACAGAAATTAAAAAAAATCTTAAATTTTCAAAAACTTAAATAGTTTATGTAATTTTGAATGCCTTTTATCATGTAAATCATCTGTGTAGAATGTGGAGAGCATACTATAAGTACAAAAAGAGAAACCTTTTTTTGGTTATTTTTTAATATGCTGAGATTATCTTTCCAGATAAAGAAAAGAGGAAATCTACCTAGCAGAAAATTTCATATTAAGCTCTTATTATTTATGCTTTCATTTGACTGCTAATAGAGTAATATTACAGTTTGACATATAAGTGTCTTGAGAGGAAGGGTAGTTAAAGTTATATTGAAATGTCAAAGAACTGGCAATATTTTCACTAAGGTAGCTTTTGAGCAAATCCAGCCCTGAACAATCGGGTCTGCACCCAAATACAAATGTTCATTATGACAATAATTCACATTTGCCCAGCACTTTAAGGTTTATCAAGTATTTTTCTTATAACAACTCTGTGGTATAGATAGTAGACATATTCAATTTTTTTTTCTGATGGAGCACCACAACCCTTAAGAGGTTAAGTCACTTGTCTATAGCCATGCAATTAGTTTGTGTTTGAAATAGAATTTAAACCCAAGGCTCAGAAATACAAGTTCAAGGCCCTATTCATTGTACTAAGATGATTATGTTTTGTTGTTTTTGGTATTCAGCCATTTTCCAGTTGTATCTGACTCTTCATTATCCTATCTAGGGTTTCCTTGGTAAAGAGACTAGGGTAGTTCATCATTTCCTTCTCCAGCTCATTTTACAGTTGGGAAAACTGAGACAAACAAGGTTGAGTGAGTTGCCCAAGGTCACACAGCTAGTAAGTGTCTGAGACCAGGTTTGAACTCAAGAGGATGAGTCTTCCTGACTCCAGGCCTGGCAGTCTATCCAATGTCCCACCTAGCTACTACTTATCCATGAGAGTGGAAGGCAAAGGGATTTATGATTCAACATAGAAATCACAGTCTTAATAGAAACCAATGAAGACATATGGAGAGAACAAGATATTATTCTAGTCCTAGAGGAAGAAGACTAATGGGCAAGGAACGGAACACTCAATCAATAACCATTTATTACATATTTACCGTATGCCAGGCACTATACCTGAGTATACAAAGATAAAAAATGAAACATTTCTTGCTGGCAAAGAACTTGCATTCTGTGAGGAAGATAGCATCTACCTATGTGTGTGTGTGTGTGTGTGTGTGTGTGTGTGTGTGTATCAATGTACACAAACATATATAATCGCAAAGTGGCGGGAGAACAGGTGGGCTCTAGCCTCTGATAGGATCAGCAAGGAAAGCTTTAGATAAAAGACAACACATGGATTCAGGAATAGGAAGCTAAGACAGAGCCTCGACAATTGGAACAAGATGATGAGGCAGGTAACATAGTTGATGGTGTAGTAGTGACTTCATATCCCCTCCCCCTTATTAGTTTCTGTAAATACAGAAATCTCACCCTGAACCATTGTCCTCATTCTTAGACAAACTGTCAGTTGTCCAACTATGGGCAATTTGTCCCATTAATTGATATTTATGCCTCTGGTGATTAACTACCCTGTCCCTTTCAGTCCATTAAATGTAACTAAAGTACAAGGTCAGGACAACATCCATGGCAAGACCAACTTGATAATAACATATGTCATTGTTCTATCAGAGACAACAAGGCAGCACAGTGGACTTGGAATCATGAAGATTTGATTTCAAATCTGGTCAATCTCTGACACTTACTGGTTACATGACTAACCCTGGGCAAGTCATTTAACGTCTGCCTACCTCAGTTTCTTCATTTATAAAATGGGGATAACAATAGCACCTATTTCCCAGGGTAATTGGGAGGATAAAATGAAATAATAATTTTAAACCCCTTTTCAAACCTTAAAGTACTATATAAATATTATTCATTATTATTTTAATTAATTCTATTTTATTTGCCTATAAGCAGGATCAGTCTCAGAGTCTAGGTCAGACCTAAATAGACCCAAGTTAGGACTATTTGAACCTCATCTAAACTTATAGGTGGAATTTAAAATGTCTTCATTTGTAAAGACTGTAGGATCCCCAGGGGCAGAGAGCCAAGCAGATAGTTCGAGGATCCTCTTTAGTGCTGAACAGTTGAGATTTTCAATTTGTCACTTAATTTAACATGGATGTATGTTTAGTAAAGAGTTTCTCAATAATGAGTTTATACAGACAATCACATTTTCATTGGTGTTAATGTATCATTCATATAGGAGATACTTTGGCTTTCAGGTAGGACTAATAGATTTAAAACCATCCTTAGTTCTGGCATTTTGTTGAACAGATCAACTTTTGTTTAAAATTAACTAATAATTTTGCAAATTTTCCTTAGCCAAGATGTTTACAGAAAATCCAGCAATTTTTTTCCCAATACATTATTTCAGAGATTTTTCATGTAGCAGAAAAATGAATATTATTATGTCATTTGTTTCTAGATCAATGATTTTAGTAATATGATATTTTTAAAAACAATAAACAATTTGCTTTATTATGGTGAAAACTATGAATTCATTTCTCTATTTATTATCTACATCCACAATATCTTTCACTTTTCTTGATGTTAAACTGACAGCTCCATAGATCATAGAACCCAAATTGTTTTCACATAAGACCTGAATGAAAGAATTCATGAGAATTTTGATTACTTTATTCTTGTTTTTAAGACATCACTTTGTCTTTAATGACCAGGCTTAAATATAGAGCCACTTAGATTTTAATCTCATTTGTTTATATGAAGCAAAGAATGGAACTAATAATGATGATTCTGTATTTCTTAACTTCTGCCTCATAATTTCCTTGCCTCCTTCAAAACTCAGTTCATATCCCACTTTGTTCATTCATCTATTTATTTATTCATTCATTCATTTGTTTGTTTATTTGTCTGTCTGTTTGTTTATTTGTTTATCCATTCATTCATTCATTTACTTTTTAATTTATCCACCTATTTATTTATGTATTTATTTATCTATTTATCTATCCATTCATTCATTTGTTTGTTTGTTTATCTATTTTGTAAGGCAATTGGGGTTGTGACTTGCCCAAGGTCACATAGCTAGTAAGTGTCAAGTGTCTGAGGCCGGATCATATCCCACTTTCTATATAAGGCCTTTCCATGTTTCTCTAATGCCTTCCCCTCTGGGATTAAATTGAATCAATAACTAGCATTTATGTGACTTCTACTATGTGCTCATCACTTTATAAACATGATCTAATTTGATCCTCACAACAACCTTGGAAAATAAGTGCTGTTATATCCCCATCTTATAGTTGAGGAAACTGAGGAAAAGGAGCTAAGTAACTTGTTTCCAGGGAAATATAGCTAATAAGTGTCTGAGGTTGGATTTAAACTCAGGTCTTCCTGAATATAGTCCTAGCACTCTATCTACTATGCCACCCAGCTGCCTAAATTAACTTTTATAAATTTAAGCAAGAATTCATTAAGTGCCTACCATGTATCAGACACTTTCCAAATATTATCTCATTTTATCCTCCAGACATTCATGGGAGATAGGTGCTATTATTATCCTCTTTTTATGGATGAGAAAACAAAAACAGATGCAGGTCAAATGAGTTGCCCAAGGTTATATAGCTAGTAAATGTTTGAGGCCGCATTTGAGCTCTTTTTTACCCCAAGTCCATGGCATTATACACTGTGCCACCTAGCTGCCTTTAAATTTCTCTCTCTCTCTCTCTCTCTCTCTCTCTCTCTCTCTCTCTCTCTCTCTCTCTCTCTCTCTCTCTCTCTCTCTCTCCCCCTCGCCCTCTAGTACTTTATTTATTAACATTTTCCTCGCTTGAAAAAAAAAATCTGAGCTCCCTGAAAAGAGGGCTTTTTTTTTTGTCTTTTGTTATTTTCTTTGTATCTGTAATACTTATCACACTGGCTGGCATATAGTAAGTACATAATAAATGCTTGTTAACTGACTGACTAATCACCACAAAATGTTTATGATCTTCCAGGACACAATGGCACAAAAAAAACCCAAAAAAGATGTGAATTTGTTAAAAGGACTTTTTCATTTTTCATATCTTTGACTGGCCCAATTAAATTTCATATACCATCCAAAGGAAATTGTATCCTATTCCTATGGGGAATAAGTAAATTTAAAGGAGGAAAAAATGTGGGTAATTTATTACAAAAGATCTTTATAGAAGGAGAAATCATAAACTACACACTTCATTCAAATTATTGCAGTGACCTCAAATTAGGATCTGGTAAAAGTCCTTTAGACTAGAGGTGTCAAACTGCTGGGCATGCCCACTGCACAACTACTAGATATAGCCTGAATCACCACATTATAATGTAATTGGGAAGTGTTTAACAAACTAAATAAAAATATAGAAAACCTATATAAATTTTAATTTGTTTTTGTTTGTTTTTTAAGTCAATATGCTGCTATGGGGATCCATTTCTATTTGCATTTGACACAACTGCTTTTGGGCATATCTGTAACATCTATAACAGGTGACAATCTTGTCATTTAGAAAATCTCTACCATTAATGCCACAGTGAAGTTCATAGATTCCCTTGGCAAGAGATCTTTTTTTTATGAAATGATACATAACTATTATTTTGATTTATGACTTAATCTTGCGTAGAGAAAGAAGCTTGACCTACATGATTTCCTTAAAATAAAGTTTTGGAGGTGGAACCAAGAAGGCAGAGAAAAGGGAGGGACTCAGCTAGGCTCTTCCCCAGATCCCTCCAAATATCTTTAAAT